CGCCGTGCAGGCAGCAGGCCGCCCGCCGCTCTAGAAGGGCCCCTCACCTGGATGGCCGTGTGGTATCGCTCCAGCTTCTCTCCTAGCTTGACTGGGAGCCTCACGCTGGCACTGCAGGACGGAAAGGCAGGGCGGCAGGCCAGCTGAGCCCCGGCCCCAGCACACCCCACCATCTGCGTGGAGGGCACGGCCTCCCTTACAGAGCAGACTGCACCGACTCGAGGAAGAGAATGGACTCCAGGATTTCCCCCACTCCCAGGAAATATGCCATAGGACGCCCCCAGGATGAAGCACCTTCTACTCCTTCCCAGGTCATCCTGTCCCCTGCACCTCAACGCCTCCAGAATCTGCCCCTTTCTCCTCGCCACACCTGCACTCACCTCCCACCCTGCCGGCCACCTGTCCGGCCACCTGCGCTCTCCACTGCCACAGGGCTGCTCCTACCACCAATAAACCCAGTCCTGTCCTCCAGCTCAGGCCCCGCGGGCCACAGGACAGGGACCAAACTCCTGGCACAGCCAACAAAGCTCTGGTGACCAGGTCGTCCCTCCTCCTGATGCCAGCGCTGCACCCCTACCCTCTGCCACGTACCAGCCTCCTGTCACCCCATATTTTCACCAGGCCTTTGACATGCTGTTCCCTCTGACAATATCATTCCTGGGGGCCAGCAGGTGAGGGGGGTTGGGGCACTGGATTCCCACAGGGCTGACCATAGTTCACATTCCAGACCTGGTGGCTGGAAACTCACGCTGGGTATTGTGCATGCATGCCCAAAATCCCAAGAGAAAAGTGGAGAAAGAATTGCATGGCCAGCCCCCCCCCCCCCAGGGCGTTTTTTATTTGTCCTTTTGTTGTTTTTCATTTATACCGCAAAAATAAAAAAAAAAAAAAAAAAAAAGCCATTTCCGGGACTAGGCTGTGGAACAGTGCTAACATAACTGGGCCCCACAGGAAAGGTCCAGGGTTCACATCCCAGGACCTCCTGAACAGCCTGGCTGGGGGTGGATCACAGTGCACAGACCTTTGTGGGGGTGCCTGTCTCTACCTCATGGAAAAAACGAACTTATAAAGAAATGACTTCTGTAAATGCCATTCTCCCAGTGAACCACCTGGAGCTCTCCCACTAGTTCAAGCCCCAATGAAGGTCGTTACCTTCCCAGCTCTGGCAGGCTGAGCTGCGGCTGCCACTACTGAGCAGAGCCGGGGGTCAGCTGCCTCTCCCTGCACCTCTCCCGGGGTCTCGCTTAATGGCTCATGCAGACTGCTCAAGGCAGTGGCTGTCCGATCCATCTTTGTCCTCCACCCTCCCTCCTCGTCCTCCACCCTCCCCATCCTCCATTCTCCTCGTCCTTCACCCTTGTCCTCTATCCTCCCTCCTCGTTCTCCACCCTCCTCTTCCTTCATCCTCATCTTCCACCTTCCTCATCCTCCATCCTCCCTCATCATCCTCCATCCTCCTCATCCTCTATCCCTAACCGCCCCCCAGGCCTCAGTAACACTTAAGAGCAGATGAACCGGCATGAGTGGGTGCACTTCCTCAGGCATACGCCCAACTGCTGTTCAGATCTGATTTCTGTTTTTCCTCAGTGCCAACATTCTGGAGAGTGGTGGGGTACCCGTAAAATGCAGATTCCAGGCCCACCCCAGACCTGCTGAAGCAGAGGTCTGTTCATGGTCTCCCCTGGGAAGCCCTCCCCTTCTTCCCATCCCTGCCTCCTCCCAGCTCTCCCTGATCCCTCCCTCCCTATTCCATGTCACCCAGCCTTGTCCCTCCTGCTAACCCGTCGCCCTCCCAGATCTGGGGCCCTGGGCAAGGACTGCGCCTGCCCACCCCATGTGCCCTGTGGCACAGGACGCCATGAAGAGGGCAGGCAGAAGACACAGGCCAGACGTGACCCGACAGGAGACAGCTGAGGTCACCAGGCCTCGCACCTACGGGTCAAGGTGGTTTCGGAGTTGTCCTTCCTGGGGCTCATCTGGAGAGAGAAGGCAAAGCGTTGGTCAGCGGGACCCCAGGGAGACGTGCTCACCCTCAAGGGAGGGGCCGAGCTCTTAGGACCCTTCCCCTCCTTGGGACCTCCTGCCCCTCCACTGCTCAACTCCTGACCAGACTGCGTGGCCGGGGCCAGCCAGTGGTGCAGTGGGTAGGGCGGCCGGACCCCACGAGGCCAACAGTGTGGCCTGCCTCAGACCTGGGCGTCTGGAAAACACTCCGGGTGCATGTGCATCCCTAAAATCCCGAGACGAGATGGAGAAGGGATTGTGGCCTGGCCTTCCCCCTTGGGGGGTGATTTCTCACACCTTCTCCCCACCCCCCACATCTCTGTCTCTCTCCCCACACTCCCTATAGCAAAAAGAAAAAGGCAAAAAGAAATATGCGGCCAAGCCTTCATTACTGGCCCTGGTCTTATCTAGGAAACGCCTGTCCCTACCTGCCAGGCTGGGTTGATGCCCTTCCTCGGGCCTCCTTCCCGGGGCACCTGTAAACACCTGTTTCTCGCCTCCCCACTGCCCGCAAGCCGTGTGGGGCACCGTCACAGCCTCCTTCCCACCTGGCCCTGGTCTTATCTAGGAAACGCCTGTCCCTACCTGCCAGGCTGGGTTGATGCCCTTCCTCGGGCCTCCTTCCCGGGGCACCTGTAAACACCTGTTTCTCGCCTCCCCACTGCCCGCAAGCCTCTTTCCCACCTTGTGGGCCTGGTACACATTACACATGACGTGTAATCAGTCAGGGAACGACTTAGTGAGCAGTGAGCACAGGCACTAAGAAAAGTGCTGGGGCAGGCGACACGAGACTCCCATCCACAGCCTTGGCACCTTGTGGCAGGGGCAGGGCAGAGTGCAGGAGGACAGCCCACTGTCAGGCCCTACCCTCCAGGGCACACCTCCCAGGGAGGACTGGGAGGGCAGGTGTGGGCTCCTGCGGTACAGCGGTACAGCGTCCCCATGTGCCCTCCTCCTGCAGCTCTGGCCTTCCCCACTAGGGGGTGCTGCCCATGCTTATTTCACCATCTCCTAGGCCATTAGCCTGCCCTCTGCTTAACAGCCTTGTCTGTTTGGGGCCTCCTCTGGGAATCCCCAAGCTCTCATCCAGAGGCTCTTCCTGCCGTCTAAACCAAGGCTCCTAGGACATTGCTGACGCTGGCTTCCTGGGTCTGCCCTCCAGTGGACCAGGATAAGGGTGCTCGGACTCTCACCCGGAAGGAGATGGTCCGGGGGCTGGAGCGTTTGAGGGAGCTGCTGTAGGTGCTCTGGGTGGGCGAAAGCATGTCCTCCTCGTCCTTGCTGCCGGGAATTTTCACCTGGACCGGGAGGGGGGTGTCGTACAAGAGGTCTAGGGTCCTACCCAGGCCCAGGTAGGCCCTAGCCCAGGCTGCCCTGGGGATGTGGCCCGGTTCACCCCAGGTGCTGCAGGAAGACACAGAGTGTGAGACTGTCCTGTGCTTTCCTCTCCTGCCTCCCCCATCTGCCATGGAGTGGCTGGTGGGCATGGTCCCCTGGACTGAAGGCAAAGCTTTCTAGAGGAGCTCTGGAAGGACCTGAGGCTTCCCGAGAGTCTGCAGGGTCCTGGCTGAGGATGAAGTCAGGGTACCAGGGGCTCCCCGCTGCCAGCTAGTGGCCCCTTACGCAGCCATGGCCCCCCTCTGTCAGGGTGGTGTCCCTATTCTGACGGCCAGAAGCAGGCAGAGAGGAGGGACTGCTAAGGCCTGCCTGAAGGGGAGGGGACAGGAGGCATGAAGGAGCCAGAGGTCACCTGGGCAGGACTGAGTGGGGAAAGGACAGGACCACGGCCCACCTGGAGTGTCACAGGCGGCAGCCGGAGGGTCCGAGGGCCCCCGCTCTGCCGGGGATGGTGGGCTCTTTTCAAGGAGGGCCTTTCCTCTCTGCTCCTTGGTGGCAGCCTGGCTACCTCTCGAGGACAGCTGTTCCTGGGCCCAGGGCTGCCCTGGGCCTGCTGCCTTCTTTGGGACCAGCTTTGCATCTGCGGCTGGGGCTTTCTCTGAGCCCAGCGACTTCTCAAACAGGGATGCCTTCTCAGACACCAGCCTCCTCTCCGAGCCCGCGGGTCTCGCTGGGGCTGGCATCTTCTCTGAGACACTTGCTTTTCCTAGAGCCGACTTCTCTGACACAGTGGTCGTCTCAGGTGCTGGTGACTTCTCAGGGACGTCTGGTTTTGCTGGAACCGACCGCTCTGAGCCGTCTCCCTTGTCTGACACTGCTGTCTTCTCGGCCTGGGCTGTCTTCTCTGCGGCCCGCGCCTTCTCAGAGACAGAGGCCTTCTCTGAGCTCAGTCTCCTCTCAGGTGTGGCCATCTTCTCTGGCACAGATTTCTCCGAGGCTGACGTCTTCCCTAGAACCCCTTTCTTCCCCGCTCCTGGCTCCTTGCTGGCCACTTTCTCCTCCTCCTGGACCCACGGGCCTCGCTGCTCCCGGCTCAGCCTCCGACGAGGGGTGGGCCCCAGATCCTTCTTGGGCACCAGGGGCTGCTGTGTGGCCTGCTCAGGGCCCGAGCTGTCCCTTCCCTCCTCTGCCTCCAGCCTCTCCCTGACGGGGGCCGGAGCAGCCTCTTCCACCCGCCGCCTCTGCCTCCGTTCCTGCCGTGACCGGAGCATGGCCTGGAAGTCCTCGTCCTCATCTTTGGTGGCTGAGGATGGCGTCTTGGGCACCTCTGCTTCCTCCACACTCGGCAGCCTGAGTCGGAGATGGGAGAGGGGGCGGGAGGAGGGATGAGAGGGTGGCCGTGGTGGGAGAAGGTGGGTGTACACGGCTAATGGACTAGTGAGGAAGCCAGCCCCACCTCCCCACCTGCGCTTTCATCCACTCTATGCCCTGGGCTTCCCAGCATATAAACAAAACACGCTTCGCATGTGCAAAGCCTTACGTGCTTCTAACATTCATAAGCCCTGTGAGGACCGCCCCTCCCGTGCTCAAGCAAATCAGCAAACACTGCTTTTTTTTTTTTTTTTTTTTAGAGGTTTTTCACTATAGGGCACGTGCGCTCGCCAGACAGAGAGAGACAGAGAGACAGAAAGCGAGAAATCACCCCCCAGGGGGGATGGTCATGCTGCAACCCTTCTCCATTCTCCTCTCAGGATCTTGGGCACGCACGCACACGCGCCCGGCATGAGTTTTAAGCCACCGGGTCCAGGATGTGAACCATGGTCGACTACGTGGGAATCCAGCGACATCGCCATTACGCTAACTGCTGGTCCCAGCAAACACTGCTCTATACGGGCCAGGACTTGTGTGGGCCACTGGGGGTCAAGACGGATCAATGCAGGCCCTGTTCCTTAGCACGTAGATCGAGACTAGAGGTTTCCAGGGGCTTGTCAAAGGTCACATCGCTTATGGGGGAGCCGGGAGACCCCGAGGCTTCATATGCACCTTCCCACACTCCCACCGTCATGTGCTGCAGCTGGGACTGGGTGCAGCCCCAGGGCACATAGTCTGTTCTCTCTTCTCCGGGAGACGAGAGAACGAGAGCAACAGCGAGTGTTTGTCCACAGCCCGTAGCGCTTGGCCTCCTTCCTCACCCTCTCTCTGGGATCTCGGGCAAGTTGACTTACTGCCTGAGGCTCTGTTTCCCAATCTGCAGACCGGACTTGCTCAAAAGTCAAAGGACACTCATCCCATGAGGGTGCCCAGCACAGCATGGCACATGGGCGGGATTCAGTAAGTGTCAGGCCTGTCTCTTGCTGTCCCTCAGGACCCCAAAATCTAGATGGCAAGTCCAGCCCTCTGTTCCTCCCCTCAGAAGCAAATTACGGGTCCAGCCCTGGGACACAGTGGTACCACGCCACTCAAGATAGGCTGGATCCTACATGGCGACTACCATTCAAACAGCAGGCTCGGCTGGCCTGCTATTGCCCTAGCCTAGGGGCATGGGCAAGTGCCCAAGATCTGACAGGCCAGAAGGCCCATGGGAGGGGTCAGAACCAAGCCCTGTGGAGGACGCTGCTCTCTCACTCACACTCTCTGTCTCTCTCTGGTAAGCACATGTGCCCTGTAGCAAATTAAAATAATAACAATTAATAAAATTAAATAAATATATATATATTTTTAAAGAATAATGGGATCAGATATGCGGCATGGTGATTAAGGCAGCTGGATTCCACTGGCCAGCTCTGCCGTTTGTGCTGGACCTGACAACCTGAAAAACACACCAGGTGTGTGTGCGCGCACGCCCCAAATCCTGAGAGAATGGAGAAGTGTAGCATCCCCGACCACGGGGTAATTTCTGACTTTCTCGCTCTCTGTCTCTCTCCAGTGAGCACACATGCCCTATAGCAAAAACTGAAAGAAAAAAGAAAAGAATTATGGGGCCAGCTGGTGGTGTGGTGGTTGGGGTGGCTGGATCCCAGTGGCTGACTGTGTGGTTCGAGTCCTGGACCCAGCGGCTTGGGAAGCACACCAGGCATGTGTGTGCATGCCCAAGATCCCAAGAAGGGGGAAATGAGGAGAGGGAATTGTGGTGTGGCCATCCCCTGGGGGCTGCTTCTCGCTTTCTCTCTCCCACTCCTATCCTCCTCAAGCGCATCTGCCCTATGGCAAAATTTTTTAAATAAAAAAATAAAAAAGAATTGTGCAGGATCAGGGCCAGAAGGAGGCTGCCTGACTTCATGGAAAGCGTGGAAATCACGTACCCTTAGGTACGTGATCGCCGCGACTCACCCAAATACCCTGACCCAGTTTCTCCCACCGTGCACTTGGGAGCATCGCCACCCAAATACCCTGACCCAGTTTCTCCCACTGTGCACTTGGGTAGCAACACCAGGGACGAGGACTGCATGAGCTATGTCTGTAAAACGTCCAGCGAGGTACTGGCTCATGGGTGGTTGCAGACATCGGCATGACGAGGTGAGCCCTGACAGGTCCGGGGAAAGTGGGGAACCGCAAGCTCGTCCTCACCCCCTCAGCCTCATTCCCCGTGCTTCAACTCCCAGCACGCCAAACAGGCTGCCCCTTGTGAGGCGGCTAAGTCCATCCTGTCACCTGGGATGGGAATGCGACTCCTGGCCCTCACCCCGACCCAAGCACCTCTCAGCAGCCGGCCGGTCTCCATTCTGGGTCAGGCTGGGAGCCTCGTCGTCGGTGGTGGAGCTGAGGTTGCGGTGCCGACGCCTGCGCTCGCGCTCCTGCTCTTCCTTGTCCTCCAAGGTCCACTGGCGGGTCAGGCTGTGGGGACACGGGGTGGTGAGCGCAGACAGGGGAGACCAGGTCCCTTCCCAAGCCAGCTTTCGTGGCCGTAGAGCACCTGCAATGCTGCTGGTCTGAACACAGACGTCCTGGATTTCAAAGGCCCCGCATGAAGAACGGAACGTAAAACCTCTCATTAGGGACTGTACATACCCATGGCCAGCCGTGGGCTAGTGGCTAAAGCGAGCCAGATCCCACACGGTTGACCACGGTTCAAATCTCAACCCTGGCAGCTTAAAAAACACACCAGGCACGTGTGCGTGCCCAACACTCTGACAGGATGGGATAATGGTGGACAAGGGATGGCAACATGACCGCACCCCACTGGAAGATGCTTTCTTTCACTTTCCCTCTATTTCTCTGTCTCTCAGACAAGCACATATGCCCTCAGGCAATTAACGAACCAGCACATGGCGTAATGGTTACGTGGCTGGACTCCCACAGAGTTGACTGCAGTTAGAACGCCATTTGAATGCCGGACCCAGCGGCTTAAAACTCACACCAGGTGTGTGTGGATGGGAGCCCAAAACCCCAAAAGGAGAACAGAGGAGCAGGGATTGCAGCATGGCCATCCCCCCAGGGGGTGACTTCTCACTTTCTGTCTCTCTGGTGAGTGCACGAGCCCTACTGCAAAAATATCTCTCAAAAAAAATTATGTCGGGCCAGGCAGTGGCTTTGTTGTAATACAGCTGAGCCCACATGGGAGAGGTCTTGAGTTTGAGTCCCAACCCAAGACCACCCTGAGTAGGACAAGAGTTCACGTGTGGGCCCTAAGATTGAGGTAGGTCACGGCGTGGTAACCCTGTCGGGGCACGTGACTATTTCTCTTATGGAAGGAATAAATTAATAAACCTTCAAAAAAAGAATTGTGTATATTGATTACATGCTGAAATGATCCTATTTGGATATACTGCGTTAAATGAGGCACAGTATCAAAATTAATTTTGCCTCATGTCTATTGCGTTTCTTCAAAAGCCCCCGGGTTTTGAGTCCACCCAGGGGTTCTCTGCCTCGGTACTGCTGTCCTCTTGTCTGGCTGACTCTGTCTGTAGGACTGTCTAGACCACAGGATGAGGGGCACCACCCCGGCCCCGAACTGCTAGATGGCAGGAGCATCATCCCCAAGTGGGACGATCAGAAACGTCTCTCAATATTGCCAAATGTCTCTGGGGGGGTAAAACCACCCAAGTGACAACCGCTGGGTTGGACTTTGCCCTGGAGTCTGGGGTGGGCCTCTGGGGCCGCCCCCACTTTCCCCAGAGACTAGGAACAGGGGAGCTGGGTGTGGCACTGCTTCCAGGAAGCAGGTGACCTCGGCAGGCTTCTATCTCATCTGGCCTCCACCTTAGATAACATCTCTCCAAGGACACTCACAGAGAAACTTCCTCAGCTACTCCTGTGGAATTTCTTAGCTATGAGGAGGGACTTCGGTTTGGCTCCAGTTGTGCTGGAAAGGCCCCAGGGAGTGTGATGTGATAGGATTTCTTCCTTGGTTTTTTTGTTTTTGTTTTGTTCTTGACACTTTTGTCATAGGGTGTGTGAGGAAGAAGACAGAGACTGAGGAAGTGAGAAATCGCCCCAGGGAGATGGCCACACTGCAATCCCTTCTTCATTCTCCTCTTGGGACTTGAGCATGCACGTGGCCCCAGAATCTTTATTTTTCAATCTCTCTGGCTGCAGTAAGGAAAAAGAACTGAAGGAGGAAGGGGTGGAGGGACACACGAGGACCCACTGGGATGCCTGCAAAGGCCGGGGCAGCCATGCCGCTTGCTGGTGGTGGCAGGGGGTGGGCACGTGAGGAATTTGGACATGTTTGAAGACACAGCCAACAGGGTTTGCTGATGGACTGGATGTGGGTGGGGTGGGATGAGCTGGGGGGAAAGAAGAATCAGGAGAATTCGCCGACTTCCTGACTTCTGGCCTGAGCAACTGCGAGTACTGACACTAGCGAGATCGGAGAGGCCGGGTGGAAGGAGGTTGTTGGGGACAGAGCGGAATGAAGAGTTTTGTCTGCGACTTGTTCAGGAGAAAAATAAACAATGAAGAGCAGAGATTCAGACACTGCAACTGCGGAGACCATGGAGACCAGGGGGAGGCCGGGACGGGGTGTTGGTGTGGACAAAGGACCAGGGACCTCTTCAGTGCTACTGTGAGGACCGGGAAGCCAGGATGAGCAGGGAGCACAGAGGGGCCTGGGTCCCCAGAAGGAGCAGCTGGGTGGGTAGGCCAGAGCCTGCTGGACTGGTGAGGGGTGGACAGAACCAAGAAAGCACAATCGGTGACTGTCAACAACTCTTTTGAGACATTTTACTAAGAAAAGCAAATAAAACGGAACAGTTAGCTAGAGAAAGATGGGGGCCCAAAGAATGCTTTGTAGAACTGAGGCATATTTACATAAATACACAAATCTTAAGTTGTGCCGTTTTTTTTAAAGATAATCAAATGAAAAGTAGGGAGGGTCTAAGAGTTTGAAAAGAAAGTGACATGCGATTGTTCTAGTGCCAGCTCCATGGCCTGGTGGTTAAGGCAGCTGGACCCCACACGGCTAACTATGCGATTGGAGTACCCAGAGCCAGCAGCTGGAGAAACACGCCAGGTACATGTATGTGTGCTCTCAAAATCCCAAACGGAGGGGGAGGTGGGGGAGGGATTACAACGTGACCCTGTCCCATGGTGGGTGCTTTCTCCTCTCCTCTCTGGCAAGCACACGCACCTTCTAGCAACAAAAAAGAAGAAACTGGGGCCCGGCAGCTGGCGTGGTGGTTGAAGGTGCTAGATTCCCACATGGCCAACCATGGTTCGAGTCCTGGACCTGGTTGGTGGCTTGCTTTCTCCCTTTCTCTCTCTGGTCAAATTAAAAAATAATAATATAAGTAAATAATTCTTCAAAAGAAAGAAGAAGAAGAAACTGTCTGGAATGCGAACACACCCACAGGACAGGTCTTTTCTTCCGTGTCCAGCACGGTGCCGGGCATGCAGTGGGAACTGGCCGATGCAGGACCTGCGAGTGGATACCAGCTCTCAGGAGTGGGGGCCCTCCTCCTCCCTGTGAATCAAAACCCCTCCACCTGATACAGAAGACCAGAAAGAGGGGGTGAATCCTGAGACCCCCCCGAGGCGAGCTGTCCAGCTCCCTGCCTAGGAAAAGGTGAGGACCTGACCACCATCCCACAGGAAACGGGCCACCTTTGGAGAACCTTCTAGAGCCCGCAGGGTAATTCTCGGTGAAAATCTCAGTTCCTCCAGCATCGGTCACACTTCCATTCCACTTCTGAGGACATAGATAAGTGCCCCAGTCAAAGTCCCCCGACAGGGCTTGACCACAGAACTGAACCGAGATTCCCCTGGGCCTTCGCCTGACCCCAGGGTTCAGTAATGGCGGTGACCACTCCTCACCCACTTTGCAGGAACTGCCGTTCTCTGATGTGCCAAGCTCCGACGCCCACCTCCCCCGCTCCCCTTATTCAGACCCAGAAGCAGCAACTGCTACAGCACGTCCCAAGACCATGTCTGCAGCTCCCCAGCTCTGGTGCACCCCTGCCCCCATCCATATGGGAACAGCCCTGCCAGCGCTGAGGCCCAAAGCTGGGGTGCAAGCTGGGGGAAAGTGACCACACCCACAGCTGGGCTGGGATGGAGCCTCGGGGATTCCTAGGTCCTGAGCAACCAGATTCCCACAGCCCACAGTGAAGCGTCGCGTTTGTTACTCCCCGATGGGGCCCGATGTGGTGAGTGAACTGTCAGAGCTTGGTCTCCTCGGAAATGACTCACTCTCCTGGCCAGGCCCAGCCCTGAGGGGTCTCCAGGGCAGAGCTGCAGGAGGTGGGGCCCAGGTGTCTCCAAGCTTTACACCTAGACCCCACAGCTCACCCAAAGTGCTGCTCAGGAATTCTGAGTGGCCTTTGACCCAACAGCCTGGCAAAACTGAGTCCCTTCACCACCACCGCCCCACCTGGGGAGAAATGTTATCTCCAACAAGCAAAGAGTCACTGGCCTATGAAGACCAGGAAATGAACAGAAGGGAAAGGGCAAAGGTCAGTCCCTAGCAGGGACCTCAGCAGTGCCGCTGTGAAACCCCAATAATAAATACAGGCTATAAGCAGAGCCGGGCATTGATTGAATACAGTGAATAATAGAAGTCCGTCAGAAAAGGCATGAGGGAGGAAGCGAGAACACTAACCCAGAAGGCTCGCTGCGCTGCCAGGCGCTCCTCCAGGGTTTCACAGGCCACGTGGGCCAAGTAGTGTCATTCCCATTTTGCATAGAAGGAAACTGAGGCTCAGGGAGGTTGATGACTGTCTCAAGAACACACAGCGAATTAAGAAGAGGAGCCAAGATTCCAGCCTAGGCCAGCCTCTCTAAAGTTCATGCCCTTCCACTAGAGCAAAGGCCAGAAAACGCTGCCCTGGGAAGGCTGGCCCTAAACATGGTGGGGCCACACCTTCTTGGAAGCCCTAGAACTGAACATTCAAAGGGACAAGGGTCCTAGGAGGGCTTGTGCAGTTGTGGGGTTCCCCACGCCAGGACAGAGGTTTGGGGAAACCCAGTGGTCAAAATGTCATTGACCTTCAAGCCCTGGGTGGAACCCACAGTCTCCAACAGCTGGGGAATCCCAGCCACTCTCATCAGCTGATGCCACAGCCCTGGGTGGCTGCCCCGCACCCCTCCCTCTCTATAACCCTTTTCCCCTCTCCCTGCCTCTATCTGGGCCTCCTTACCGGGGGCCATCCCCCCACCCCTGACTTCACAAGCTGCCATCCTTTGGAAGTTCAGGCCCTCTTTTTTCTCTTAAAAAGTCCTGGGGCTGGCAGGTGGTGTGGTGGTTAAGGAGGCTGGACTCCCACATGGCTGACTGTGGTCAGACCAGGCAGCTTGCTTTCCCACTTTCCTTCTCTCTCTCTCTCTCACTCTGTCCCTCTCTGGTCAAATTAAAATAAATAAAAAAATAAAGTTAAATAAAATAATTATTTTAAAAAATAATAAATAAATAAATAAATAAATTTAAAAGTCCTGAAAGCCAGTGTGTCCTGTTGCCCCTTGGAGAGCTTGTTCCGCCCTCTCTCCAGAGGCTTCTCTCCCTGAAGTCTCACTTCCACTCCTCTGCAGCAGCTGTAGCAGGGGTGTAAGTGCGCTGGTTGCTACGTGCTCCACTCAGCAGTAGAACCTGTTTTCCAAACTGACTCACAAATAGGAGCCCCTTAAAGGGCAGGCCAAGGCTCAGCTGCTCTGGTTAAAGAAGGCAGAGGGCACGAGGCTGCCCCAGAAGCCTTTAGTGTAACTCTGGGGCTCAAGGAGCCGAGTTTGCAAATCCTGGGGCCAGGGAGAACAATGAAGGGTGCTCAAGCCTGGCCATGACCTTGGGCCAGTCTCTGCCCCCACCCCAGCTGGGGCAAGCCTCAGACTCCCCTTCCTCATAATAAAGGTCACTGTGGGTGGTCGCTGAGGTCCCTGCCAGCCCTGATGGTCCAGGGAGAGGAGTCAGGGAGAGCCCAGGGGGTGCTTGGAAGTGAGAAGGCTGCTCAAGGCCCAGGTGGGGAAATGATTAACCACTCACTGCTCAGTCCTGGCACTGTCAGCTCCACCCCTCACCCCCCGCAGGCAGGCCTGGCCCGGCCTCACCCATCACCAGGCCAGCCCGGGGAGAAAAGGACAAGTCTACTGACCACCCCGCCAACCTGATCCCACCAGCAGCACCACAGGGCTGCA